AAGGATAGCTACTTTTAAATCTGCTACTGTGTGTCCAGGGAGATTGAAGTGTTCTCCTACAGGCTTTTGTATATTACCATTCCTGATATCTGATTTGTGTCTGTTTATTCTTTTATGTAGGGACTGTCCAGTTTGGCCAACATATATGGCAGAGGGGCATTGCTGGCACATATTACATTGGCAGATGTGCAGGTGAATGAGCCTGTGATGGTGTGGCTGATGTGTTTAGGTCCTGTGAGGATGTCGCTGGTGTAGATATGTGGGCAGAGTTGGCACTGAGGTTTATTGCAGGGATTGGTTCCTGAGTTAGAGTTACGGTGGTGTGGTGTATAGTTGCTGGTGAGAATTTGCTTCAGGTTGGCGGGCTGTCTGTAGGCGAGGACTGGCCTGCCTCCCAACAAAGAAAATAACAGAACACCACTGGCCATCACCTACAGTCCCCAGCTAAAACCTCTCCAATGCATCATCAGTGATCTACAACCCATCCTGGATACCTCACTCTCACATCACAGACCTTGGGAGGTTGATCCGGCCCATGGCTGCCCCGCTGTTCCCCCGTCCCCAGACCAATTGAGACCTGAGGACAGGAGAGCGCGCAGTCTCCTCCCTCCACCAGGAGCACTTGGCACCAGATGGAACTGCGCACCCCTGGTGGGGGGAGGAGTCTTTGCCTGCTCCCCCAGGCCAGTCAGGTCTGGGATGTCAGGGATGGTACTTGGTCCTGTCACGAGGGCAGGGGACTGGACTTGATGACCTCTCAAGGTCCCTTCCAGTTCTGAGATAGGTATATCTCCATATATTTTTTATTTGGAGGTGGGAGAGCATGTGAAGTCTCTCGCTTCCTGCCCTGCTGGGAGGGACCCACATGCCCCTGGCAGGGCATGGCAAGGGGACCTCTGCCCCCAGGCCCTGATAGACCTGGGGGTAGGGGAGCATGTGAAGTCTCCTCTCCCCATCACAAAACCAGAGGGAACCTCGTGCCCCAGGAGAGATTTGTTTGCTCCACTGCCCCAGGTCCTTCCCAGCAGCTGGAAAGCAAGGCATGGTGAGGCGAGGGATGGCACCTCCTGAACTAAGGCGAAAGCCTCTCTCTGGCCCCCTCTTGATGCAGCTGCTGCACCAGTGGTGGCCCTGTGGTAGGACTGCACACCTTAGATCCCTGGAAAGAGTCTGTCTGGGAGCAGAGAGAAAAAGGGAGCGAGAGAAAGGGAGAGAATATTTCCCTGAAGTCCTTCTGCCCCCCTGCTCCCAGTTTCTTTCTTTCTTTCTTTCTTTCTTGGCAAGGGGGCAAAGACTTCATGCTATCCCCCGCCCCCCGACCCTGATTGGCCTGGGGTCGGGGGAATGCGAGAAGTCTCCTCACACTACCAAGGGCACCCGGTGCCTAGAGGGAACTGGAAGCTGTTCAAAACTCAGTGGCTCTCTCTAGGCATCGGGCGCCCCTAGCAGGGCAGGGGCCAAAGACTTGATGCCCTCCCCTGCCCCCAGGCCAATCAGAGTGGCCTGTGACCACTTCTGAAATTTGCGCAGTACACCCCCCTTCAAAAATTATTTCCTATCCCTGTTGTATAACTACGTTGCTCAAAGGTGTAGATTTCATACCACTGATCAATGTAAACATACCAAAGTGTTTAATGTAGACCTAGCCTAAAAAGTCATGGTTTTAATAAAGGCACTGGATTTATGCTGTACTACAGGGGTTCCCAACCTTTTTCAGTCCCCGTACACCCTTGGCTTTTAGTAAACCTTCCTGTGCCCCCTATTCAATACGAAAGGAAATAAATTCTAGAGTTTACCATGCATATGCACATAAGAAATTAAATAAACAGATTAATTTTTCATAAAGAAAACTTTATTTGGTACATAACATTTTTTAGTATTATAAAGTTGTTAAATATTTATCAGAACACAGTCAAATTTATTAGTGAGACCCTTGATTCTGTTTCTTGTCAACCAGCAGTTTTATTCTCGGTATGGTTTTTGAAAGAGATACACACATATCATGTTCAGCCTCCAGTTTATTTCTTGCTTTGGATTTGATTGAGAACAGACTGAGAATCCTGATTCACAGAGATAAGTTGTTATAAACGGAATTAAAGCCTTGTGATCATGTTTAGTAAGAATGGGATATGCTTCTCCAATGGTCCACCAAAAATTTTGTAATTTCATTGATTGGAAATCAATTTGGAGTTTCTGGTTATTGCGGAGATCAATTAGCTCGTCTTTCATTGGGTTGTTGTCGCTGATTTTTTCTAACTCAATATGAAAAGGGTTTCATATCCAAACCTCACTTATTTGGTCAGTAGGAATTATTCCTTCAACTGTCTCTTTCAAATTTTTCAGATGCACTATAATGCTTTCGCGAACTTTCAGTTCTAGTTGATATACTGGATCTGAAGTGATTTCATCAAGAGATTGGAAATTTGCAAAGTTACCAGACTCCACCCTTCTTCCCCAAAGAGCCAATTTTTCTTGAAATGATTTGATCTTTTCTTCGGCCTCCGAGAGAATGATGTCTATACCTTGCAGGAAAACCGAAATGTTTGTTGGTTTTGCTGACAGGCAGCGCCACCATGCAATAGCTTGGAAACCTAGGGGCTCCATTATCTCTCGCACACGCTAATGTTAGCAGACAATTACAGTTAGAATTTATGATCAGCGATGGTTACCTGGGCTCAGGATGGCAAATATAAATGAAACTATGCCTTGTTCAATAGTCTCAATAATACAACCACTACGCTTCCTCCCTTTCTCACCCCGCTCCCACCTCCTCGCCGTTCTCTCTCCAATCCACAACTTTTTTCACTAACACTACTACTTTTGGAATATTTCAATTAGGTTGTTAGTTACCAAATATTCCCCGTACCCTCTTGACAAGCTTCTCGTACCCCCTAGGGGTACGCGTACCCCAGGTTGGGAACCCCTGCTGTATTATAATAATGTATAATCTACTAACCTCCTATGACTGTAGAGATGTTAACAGGCGAATAATATGTTTACTTATGTTAAATAACCTGTTCTACCTTGTATTTATCTGTGGCCCTCTACTTTTCCCAAACCTGACGAGCTCTGTGCTGTTCAATGGCTTGTTTCTTCCATCAGCAGAAACTGGTCCAAGACAATATACGACCTGACTCATCTTATCTATCAATGACAGATCTCTACGCCTATAAGGTTGCCTGCCTATGATCACACTCACACACTGGATTCTGGTTAATCCAGATTAACTACTGTCAAAACTGTATAGGCGATGGGAGTGATTGAGACTCTGCACCCTATAAAACCAGAATCATGGCAGGTGTGCATGACTGTCTCACAGTGCCCCACTGCCATGTATATTGGCCAAACTGGACAGTCTCTAGGGGAAAGAATAAATGGACACAAATTAGATATCTGAAAAGGCAATACACAAAAATCTGTTGGAGAACACTTTAATCTGCCTGGACACTCATTAATGAATCTCCAAGTCACCATGTTGCTTTAGCCCAAATCCACAAGCCAAATACATAGGGAAAGCCTAGAACTTTCATTTACAAGTTTAATTCTTATGCAAATCATAGAATCATAGAATATTAGGACTTTAAGGGACCTTGGGAGGTCATCACGTCCAGTCCCTTGCCCTCATGGCAGAACCCAGTACTGTCTAGATCATCCCTGATAGACATTTATCTAACCTACTCTTAAATATCTCCAGAGATGGAGATTCCACAACCACCCTAGGCAATTTATTCCAGTGTTTAACTACTCTGTTAGGAACTTTTTCCTAATGTCCAACCTAAATCTTCCTTGCTGCAGTTTAAGTCCATTGCTTCTTGTTCTATCTTCAGAGGCCAGGAAGAACAAGTTTTCTCCCTCCTCCTTGTGACACCCTTTTAGATACCTGAAAACCACTATCATGTCCCCTCTCAGTCTTCTCTTTTCCAAACTCAACAAGCCCAGTTCTTTCAGTCTTCCTTCATAGGTCATGTTATAAACAGGAACATCAGCTGGCTCCCTCATGACCTTCCACATCCTAATGACTTAACCAACCAAACAATGGAGGTGCTAATTGTTCTTATCATCCTCTTATAACTATTTGAACCATCAACTCACTTTTTTCTTTCCTCTCCTTTTTTCCTCCCACCCTCCCTTTCCCTTATTTATTCTTGGATCTGGACTTCTAATTCTTGTCATCTGAAGAAATGGGTTGCCCCAGGAAAGCTCATGATACTATCTCCATGCTTTGTTAAGTCTTTAAGGTGCTACCAGACTATTTGTTTTTTAAGTTTTCACTTGGCTGTTGTATTTCAAGGGTGGGCTGTATGAGGGGAGCCAGGCTGGAGCACAGGTGGAGGACCCCAGGGCTCTGTCCGGTGACCCCATGTTCCTCTAGGATTGCCTGGTGTCTGGTTTTTGCCTGGATAGTCCAGTAATTGCATCTTCTGTCCCGTAAAAAAACCCCAGAAAACACAGGACATATAAAATGTCCGGTATTTTGTTTTTCTTGGACAGAAGGCTGGTGAGACATTTCCCCCCTGCCACATCTGGTGGGGGCAGAGGGAGTGGGGGAATTTAAAGGCACAGAAACTTTTTTTTTTTCACTCAACAAGTTTGGTCCCCCCCCCTTTTTTTCACAACCAATTCCTCCCCCCCAGAATGTTTTGTGAACGTATTTGGCAACTCTACGCGCCTCTCATTGGAGAAACGGGACAGTTGCCCGCCTCTAACCTCCGCAACAAGGCAAGAGCTCTGGGAAGGATTCCCCCCTCCCAGCAGGGCAGGCAGGACGATGACGTTGCAGGCGGGGAGGCGGTCCGTCCCCTGAGGACGAGACCATCCCGTGACTCACGGGGCGCGCCGGCCTGAGCGAAAGAGAAGGTTCGAGGAAAGGATAAGAAAAGGGGGCGGAGCTGTGAGGAAGAAGGCGAGTCAACTGCCCCTCCCCCACGCGCCTGAAGTCAGAGATAACCTCTGAGCATGCGTAGCAGCCGCGGGGCGTAGAACCACTCCGGAGATCCCAACGATCGCTCCGGCCCCCGTGTTCGGGCGGCGAGGGGGAAGGGAAGGAGAGGGAGCCGCCCCGAGGGAATCTCGCGAGAGGCGTTCTTTCTCTCCGCGCCCCGCCCCCTCCTCACGGCAGGACGGGATCTTTCGAGATCTCTCCCCCTCCCTCGAGAGGAGGCTGCCGGAGCCGCTGCTCATTTAAACGGGCTGCGTCGGCTGCGTCCGCACTAGTGAGGCGCGGGCGCCGGTCGGGACCGAGCCAGACCCTTGCGGAGCTCCTCAGCCTTTGCCCGGCGCCCTCCTCAGCCCCTCCGGCCGCAGCATGTCGGTGGTGGGCATCGATCTGGGCTTCCAGAGCTGCTATGTAGCCGTGGCCCGGGCCGGAGGCATCGAGACCGTCGCCAACGAGTACAGCGACCGCAGCACCCCGTGAGTAAAGGCGGGAGAGGGACGGGCCGGGGGGCGGCGCGGGGTACCGGGGCGTGGCAG